GGTCAACCAGGACTAATCGGGAACCAAGGACCAATGGGCATTGAAGGCTTTACTGGACCAGAGGGAGTGAGAGGACTGAAAGGAGAGAAGGGTATAACAGGTCCTACAGGTGCAGCTGGAATGAAGGGAGACAAGGTAAGTTCATTCATGCTTTTAGGGTTCTTGTACATCTTCGAAGACAACCCTGTTCTTTCTGCTGTAGGGGCAATTCTACATTTTGCTGTGTCATTTGGGCATAATCAGGGCAATGAAATGACTGAAAGTTAACCAATTATCTTCTATCTGTCTGTTTGCCTGTCTGTCCATCTGTCTATCTATCTATCTATCTATCCATCCATCCATCCATCTATCATTCATCCATCTATCCATTCATCTATGATATCATCTATGATGTCTATGATATCATCCATGTCTCTGTCTCTCTCTCTCTCATCTGTCTATCTATCTATCTATCTATCTATCTATCTATCTATCTATCTATCTATCTATCATCCATCATCTATAATAGCATCTAGCTGTCACCCACCTATCATCTGTCTCTCTCTCTCTCTCTCTCTCTGTCTCTTTCTCATGTATGTATGTATATATGTATGTATGTATGTATCTGTCTGTCTATCTGTCTATCTATCGATGTCATCTATATCATCTATCTCATCTGTCTATCAGCTTTATCTATCATCCCTATCTATCTATCTATCTATCTATCTATCTATCTATCTATCTATCTATCTATCTATCCATCCAGCCATCCAGCCATCCACACACTATTTTAGTGTGTATTTCACTAAACGTTATTTCTTAGAGCTACACAAAACATTGAAGAGTGCAACTTCCACAGTGTCCATCATAACCTGCCAGTCAAAGTATCAAGGTGCTATGATCTCTTAGGGGCTCAGCATAGTTGTACCTAGGACCTACCAGCATTATGTGTACAAGTGTGAACTTTTACCACAATTGGAAAGCTACTTTAGTTGATAATGTGACTCAGAAGGAAAGGAAGACTGTTCTCTGTGTTTGTTTAACCAGAATCTCTTTATCTATTAATAGGACTTAGTTGAAGCACCGATCTCACTGTAGCTTACAGTACTGTTGGATTATGAACTGTTCTGAAAGGTTCACAGACTTTCTTACAATTGCATTTGACATATCTGTAGCCCACCCTCCATCCAGAGACTGTCAGAAAGCATCTGCATAAAGAGTTAGTCGTGACTGAGAACCAAAATGCAACTACAACAATGCAAAAAGATTGTCTATAGCAAGTCCATCCTCGATTGTATATCCATTGTTCTAGGCTAACATGCCTCATGAACTGGACTTAGAACTGTAAAGAACATACAGACACTTAACTGTATTCCTTTTTTATCTTCTTAGGGCCCAATGGGTGTTCCTGGATTCCCTGGAATTTATGGCGTTCCGGTAAGTCTCTCTGGATTCCCTAGGACTTAAGCATATCTCTTAGTGTGGCTTTTGGCCACCGACTTTAAGTATGATTCTGGGTTTGAATTCAAATGCATGTTTTTGTGGTCCTTGATTGAGGTTGTTGATGGGTAGTCCAACAAAAATTCCAGGGTGAAGGTGATTGTATGTAGTTGGTAGGGCAGGTCTTCTGTTCTAAGAGGATATTCCTTTCCTACTGATTGAAGGACTATTACCCGGTCAGTAATGCAGGTAAGTCTGGACCATAGAATGAACATTGAGACTCCAAGAGACAGTGGGCTCCAATAACCACAAAATAGCAGGTGATTGAGGCTGTAGCGAACACAGCCACATCAACATTAGGATCCATTGTTTCTTCTTCTGTGGTCAAGGAGGAATTGGTTAAGCATACACATACTTGCAAATGCTCAATTTGTTGCTTTATCCTTAAAAAAAAAAAGATGAGCGCTTGGAAGAGTTTGAAAAAAGGTATTCAAATGCCTGGATGTCCTTATGCCTACAAAGATCAGAGTCACGCAAGCCATAGATCTCCCTTTGGCGCATCATGGGAGCAAGAGATGGACTTTGAAGAAGCAGGATAGGAAGAATATTACCTCCTTTGATCTTTGGTGTTGGAGAAGATTCCTAACAAAGTCATGGACAGCCAAGAAAACAAGCCAGGGGACATCAAACAAAGCAACCCAATTGAGGCATAAATGAGCAGGCTCAAATGATCCAACTTTGGATGCATTATGTGAAGACATAGCTCTCTTGAAAAGACTGTAATGCTAGGAAAAGTGGAAGAAAAGAAGTGGATAACCAGCAGCCAGGCGGCTATCTAAAGGACCAGGTTAGGCATAAGTTGGAATGGAGAAAATATGTCTATGTGGTCAATAGGAGATCACAGCCACTTGATGACACATAGTCAGTCACTCAGATTGAATGGCAAACTTCAAAGGGATCTGAAAGACTCTTCAGTCCAGTGGAAGCATCTCCAAGAGAAGGACAGATGGGAGATCTGGTCACTTGGCATATTGCCCTTTCCAGCCAGTCTTTTCCCCTTAGTGGGAGGGAACAAGACCATTGGAGAAAATAGCGATTTTTCGTCTGTTCATTGATACATTTGCGTCTTTCCTAGCTATCTTACTACATGGAGTTCTCTGGATAGTTTACTAATGAACCAACATTTAAAAAAAATTAAAGACAAAATGGAAGACAAATTCCTAAAAATAAGCACCAACATCCATAAATCAACAAAAATTTCCATCAGTCTATCCTCATTTTTTTTGGCCTTATTTTTGTTCCACGAAGTATTTATGTCATGCTTCGGTACTATAATTATGCATAAAGACTCTTAAATTCATTTTATTTTACCATATGCAACATGTGACCTTAATTAGTGGGACAGACAGTGGAAATTAGTAATTCATTTTCTCCCCATGACAATTTAGTTGTGTGTTTCTTTAATAATCACTCCTAACCACAGCAGAAAATTGAAAGATTTCAGGACATACCCTGTTTTCCTTCCTTCCTTCCTTCCTTCCTTCCTTCCTTCCTTCCTTCCTTCCTTCCTTCCTTCCTTCCTTCCTTCTTTTCCCTTCTTCCTTCCTTCACCCTTTTCCTTCTCCCTTCCTCCCTCTTTTCCCATTCTTCCTTCCTTCACCCTTTTCTTCCTCCTTCCTTTCCCATTCTTCCTTCCTTGTTTCCTTCCTTGTTTCCTTCCTCCTTTCCCATTCTTCCTTCCTTCCCCCTTTTCTTCCTACCTCCTTTCCCGTTCTTCTTTCCTTCCTTCCTCCCTCCCTCCCTCCTTTCCCATTCTTCCTTCCTTCCTTCCTTCACCCTTTTCTTCCTCCCTCCCTCACTCCTTTCCCATCCTTCCTTCCTTCCTTCCTTCCTTCCTTCCTTCCTTCCTTCCTTACTTACTTACTTACTTACTTACTTACTTACTTACTTACTTCTTTGTTAGCAGTAACAATAGATCTAATAAACAACCTCTAAAGCCAGCTACATAAAATTCAGCAAAGAAACAAATTGAACATGCAGGTTTAATTTAGTTTAATTCAATCAGGTTGATCAGAGAATTGGACGCTTTCAAAGCACATCCTGGCTGCCCTGTCTGTTTTCATTCTTTCTTTCTCCCCTTCCTTTTCTTTTCATTCATTTTCATCTCCCCACTCCCACCCTTATTGCTTTGTGTCAAAACAACAATTAAAGATAAAAAACTGTGGTTTTAAATGCAGGAACAGAATGAGTTCAATGTGCAGTTTTGAAACCCCAGAGAACCCCAGATTTAACTAAGGGTTCTGTGTAAGGCCTTGGCTGGGTATAGGTGGTCCTCGGCATAGGACCACAATTGAGCCCAAAATTTCTGTTGGTAAGCGAGACATTTGTTAAATGAGTTTTGCCCCATTTTTATGACCTTTCTGTTGTTAAGTTAGTAACACAGTTATTAAATGAATCTGGCTTCCCATTGACTTTACTTGTCAGAAGTTTGCAAAAAGGGATCACGTGATCCTGGGACACAGCGACTGTAGTAAAGAGGCTACAGGAATGGTAACCAGGTGGAAACTGCTTCTGGATTTCTGTGCTTGGGGTGGAAAAAAATGAAAGTTTGATTTGGGGTTTTACCAATTAATAGATTTGTTGTTTTAGAAATGACTAGCAACATGCTATTATTATGTAAAAGTAAAAATGTTGAGCTTTGATCTTAGTATCTTATTCTACTGCACCAAAGAGAGTTGGAAGTCAACGCCTTTTCTTTCTTTATTCCCCTTGCCTACACTTTTCCCTTCCTTTTCCCTTCCTATTTTCTTTTGCAGTTTTGTATTGTATATTATAAACTAATAAAAAAATTGAAAAGGGAAAAGAGATGATGTGAGATGCCCCAAGCAGTGAATCGATAGATAGATAGATAGATAGATAGATAGATAGATAGATAGATAGATAGATAGATAGATAGATAGATAGATAGACAGACAGACAGACAGACAGACAGATAGATAGATAGATAGATAGGTGAGTGGGTAGATAGATAGACAGACAGATAGAGATGGATAGATGGATAGATGGATGGATAGATAGATAGATAGATAGATAGATAGATAGATAGATAGATAGATAGATAGGTGTGGGTGGGTAGACAGACAGACAGACAGACAGACAGACAGATAGATAGATAGATAGATAGATAGAGATGGATGGATGGATAGATAGGTGGATAGGTAGATAGGTAGGTAGATAGATAGATAGATAGATAGATAGATAGATAGATAAATATATAGATAGATAGATAGATAAGCTTTATTGTCATTTTTACTGTGGGCACAACAGCACACATTAAAAATGAAATTTAGTTGCTTGCTCTCAAAGTGTACACATAACACACATTTAAACATGCTATATACAACATATGTATAAACCTACACCCTTACATATAAATATTAATAACTGTCCATCTTGAATACATAGTGGAAGGAGGAAGCTTTAGAGTTTACAAGGTTAATTCTGTATGGAACAAAACTGTGGCTGAATCTGGATGTTCTGCTTCGGATCCCAATGATCACAGTGGGAAGGTGGGCATGGAAGGAAGAGCCCCACAAGTTCAGGATGGCTATATATAAGTGGGCGGGAGGGAAGGAGGTCACCATAGGTCCTGTCAAAGAAACTGCCCCCAGATGGACTTCATTTCTTGTGTTGCTACAGCTGTTAGGAAAACCTTGTCTCTGTCAGCCATCACTGCCTGCATTTGTGGCTTGTTAACCACCAATGTCCCAGAGAAAGGGCCTGAAGGAACTTCCCTTCCCCACCTGCCTGGCACATTCCCATTTTTTTTTCCTCCCTGGCCCTCACCCCACATCCTAATGTAGATGTTTAGCTTTTCCCATGGAAGGAAGTTGAGAAGTTTGGAAGTTGAGATGCATCAGCCCCAGCCTTTCAGCTGAAAATACAAGGCTGGCTGAATGGAAACATTTCAGGGAGCGATAGCATATGGACTGGCTTCTATCAGCTTGTGTGTGTGTGTGTGTGTGTGTACATGGTTCACAAAGCAAACCAAACAAAACCACAGGCTGTTTGAAAAGAAGGATCTGGCATGACTTCAAGAGGCCCCTTTAATGTTCCTAATACGCAAATCTCTGCCTTCCGATTAGGCTGATTTCTCTCTTCCTTAAGCACTGGGTCTGCCCTGTTTGGGTCTACTTAGAAATAAGTCTTCTTCACCGGAAAGGGACTTAAACTTAGTTAAGGCAGTGAGAACAATTAACCAGTGGAACGGCTTGACTTCAGAAGTTGTAGGTGCTTCATCACCGGAGTTTTTAAGAAAAGGTTGGATAGCCATCTGTCTGAAATGGTATAGGGCAGTGATGGCGAACCTTTTAGAGACCGAGTGCCCAAACTGCAACCCAAAACCCACTTATGCATCGTCGAGTGCCGGGTGGGTGTGGTCCATTGGGTGGGTGTGGCCCATTGGGTGGGCGTGGCCCATTGGCTGGGTGTGGCTGTGGTGGTAGCAGCAGACTGGGTGGGACTAAAAAGTTCAATCAATCAATTCCGACTTTGCGAGATCTTTTTTTTTCCCGTGAGAAGTTGAAATTGACTGATTGATTGAACCTTTTTTTTTTTTTGCACACGGCGGCGGAGGCCTAAAGCGAAAAGATTTTATAAAACCCAGCTGAAGGCCTAGGACTGGGGCGACAGCGCGCGTGCCCACAGAGAGGGCTGTGGGTGCCGCCTCTGGCACCCGTGCCGTAGGTTCGCCACCACTGATATAGGTTCTCCTGCTTGAGTGGGGGGCTGGACTAGAAGACCTCCCAGGTCCCTTTCACCTCTATTCTGATTGATTGATTGATTGATTGATTGATTGGTTTTTTAGTTGCAATGTGGAAGGGGTGGATAGTAATGGTTCCTCATCCCCATTCTAAACGTTTAAATATCCCCATTCTCAATCATCCAGGTCATGGTTTGTCCCAAAAGTACTTTTCAAGACGCCAATTGGGCTTGGT